GGCAGAACAAAGCACGTGTGAGGTAGAAAATAGAGAATGTGAGGTTGGAGGAAGGGGAAAAGCCAGGGCCCACAAACAAGAGATGAGGTCTTATGCTAAGCTGTGGGCCAAACCACTTTTTTCCTCCAAGAAAAAACTATATGGATGTGCTATGCACAAAACTGGGAAAGGCTGGGCTGCTTCACCCAAAACAGCGTGATAATCTGACATCTTCACAATTAATTAACTATGATTAAGTAAAATACAAGATACACCAGCTGTGGCCAAGGCACCCGAAGTGTCTACTGGAGTCCAGGCGTGGCTATCCCTGGATTTGGTTACCTTTTGGGGGGAAGCAAAAGGAAACAAATACTAGGAGTACAGATAAAGGGGGGAGAACAAAGTGGGAGAGGCCCTGCTACGAATCTCAGGATTCGGACTTGAATTCATACCCCTAGAAAGTACCCCCAACATCATCTTCCAGGCAAAGCTTCTGGCTCCCTTGACACCTCTGAAACACTGGAGAGAAAAGGCGGGTCAAGATGGTGCTACTATCCCCATCGCTTGGACTGGGTTCAGAGAAACTTCTTAGATCAGAGCTGGAGCCTTCTCTTGCTCCGAAGAAGGGCTCAGCAGACTTTTCCTTAAAGGGTTGGACAGTATTTCAGGCTTTGCAGGCCACACAGCCTCTATCACAACAACCCTGCTGCTGTAGAAGAGCAGCCATGGAATGGGCGTGGCTGAGTTCCAATAAAACTTTATCTATAAAAACAGGAGGTGGGCTGGATTAGGGCCCTTTGGCTATAGTCTGGTAACCTCTGAAGGCTTCCTGCAAAATTCCTGAGCTGCTCTCAAGTTCAAGAAAAAAGGATTTGCCTCAGCAATGCCAAGACTCTTATGAGGCAGAAAGACAGAGCTCTAGGACTAATTCACCAAATCCATACCCTCTTAGTGAAGGGGATTGGGGGGGGGAGGGTGCATGGGAAAGCCAGAGAAACTAGGAAGATAACTCTACTACAGATCATATACCAGCCTGTCCTTCAAAATTTGCCTATAATTTTCATTCTAACCTTCATTTTCACTAATGGTTTATCCTGTTAATTAAAATTTCACTCATTCATTATTTGCTGGTGGCTACTATCTATGTGCGAATCCCAGCTTTCACTTTCTTAATTATCTCTTGCAAAGGCTCATGCTTGTTTGGGTTTAAATCTATCTGCAGATGGTGCTGGGTGGTCAGGAACCTCATCAGGAGGAAAATGTGCTNTGTGCCTATAATCTTCATTCTAACCTTCATTTTCACTAATGGTTTATCCTGTTAATTAGAATTTCACTCATTCATTATTTGCTGGTGGCTACTATCTATGTGCGAATCCCAGCTTTCACTTTCTTAATTATCTCTTGCAAAGGCTCATGCTTGTTTGGGTTTAAATCTATCTGCAGATGGTGCTGGGTGGTCAGGAACCTCATCAGGAGGAAAATGTGCTATGCAGCTGGACCGAACAGAATCCAAACTGGAAGAGCTAAGTGCGACCACCTTCACTTCCCCATGCTGTACAATAGGGCCGGCAAACTTCTTCTGCGAAGGGACAGATAGTTACTATTTTTGGCTTTGTGGGCCATGTAGTTTCTGTCACAACTACTCAGCTCTGCCACGGAAGCAAAGCAGCCATCGATAATACAGAAATGAATGGGAATGGCTGTGTCCCAATAAAGCTTTATTTACAAACACGGGCAGTGGCTGCAGGGTGTAGTTTGCCTACTCTTGTGAGCGAGGAGCAACTTTTACCTATAATTCCTGTTTGAATCGCTCCTTAAACTCCACCATTTGTCATCAAGGTCCATCTGAAAACAGAGGGGAGTTTGGGAAGTGCACCAAAGTTTTAAACTATAATTACGTCCAGGTGGTAAATTTAGGGGGCGTCACGGAAATCATGATAGCAAGCACGTACAGAGCCCTTATGACGTGCCATGCAATGTCTGATGCACTTCCCACATTCACTCACGCTTACACATCTGGTAAAGATGCTATCACTCCCATTTTATACAAGGAGAAAAGAAGGCACCAAAGACCTGAATTCTTGCCTTGACTCTGGGGCCACTCACTGTGACACTGAGCAAGTCACCTGATATCCTTAAGACCCTGTCTCTGTGTGTGTGAAACAAGCCCAGTATCTGCCCTCCCCACAGGGCTCGTACAAGGACCAGAGGAGGTGTGTGACTCACGGTGGCTCTGCTGTGCTCTGCAGACAGGCTTCACCTGCCTGACATTTAGNTCATCCCAGAGTCCCCAGCCCCCTTTCCCCATCTGGAGGCAGCCACATGGCTCCATCTGAGAGGGGCAAAGGGAGGATAGGGCAAAGCTGCTGTGTACTTTTGCCTGGTCACCCACTGTTTAGGGGACCCAGGTCAAAAGCAGCCAGTCCCTGCTCTATGCTCAGCAGCAGGGTAAAGTAGCAGAGAAGTGCCTAAATCCATGTCCCCAGCTGCACGTGTCACAGCAACATGTCCTCAAGCCGCTGGAAGATTTCACAGGGTGAAGCGTGGCTAAGCCCTGAGCAGTCTGCACATAGTAGGTGCTGAAAACAGAGGTAGTTTTCCTTCCTTGGCTAGAAGCCAAGAGTAAGGCAGAGCACACCTAGACTGGGGTCTTGTATATGGGGATAAAGAAGAAAGTGAAAACTTAACAAAATAATAAAAAGGAGAAAATGTCAGCCTGCAAAGGTTGGGATGGAGGGTGTTCCCTGCTGGTGCAGCTCAGCATCCTCCCTGGGGACACAGATCCCCACCTGGTACCTGCCTGCTGTACCTGATTATTGCAAACGCTCCCTCACTAACCAGGTTTGGCTTAACTGCCTCGACAGCCGATGTGAAGCAATTTCTCCTGCCAAGTCTGGGAGAGGATGCCACCCGCCAGCTCTAACCTGGGGGTTTCAGAGTGAGGCTTTGCTGTGGCGACACGAAGTGCTTGACCTGACAATCTTCACTGCCAGAGTGCCCCCACTCCAGTCTTCCTCTGCCTGGNCCCCCCCAGGTCCCTCACATACCTCACAGATCTTCTCCAGAGACGGAACAAAGAACTCATCGCACACTATGGCCAAGGCGTAGAACATGTACAGAGCCTGCGAGGGAGATGGGAGACAGAGAGCGTCAGCGAGGCCACCCGCTGCCAACGACGCACAGCCAAGCATCCATCACGCCCCAAACCAGCCTGCCGGGGCACAGGACAGATGGACACAAGGCCTGGACGAAAATTCCAGCACCGTAGAGGCTTGCTCCCTTAGCGTCCTCTCTGACAAATGGGAAACTGAGGCATGGAGAGGCGAAATACTTGCTGAGCAGTGGAGGGGACTAACTCAGGCCACATGGCCTTTTGCTCTGTCTTCTCTTCTTAAAGAAGCAGCTCTGAGTATGCCCTCAGAAGGTAAGACATAACTTCTAAAGGAAAGCATTTAAAGTTACCATTTTAAGAGTTTAAAATAATCATCATCCCGATTTCCCCTTTATTTTTAATGAAGGCACTATATCCTTATTACCTGCCCGCCCCCTGCCAAAACAAATGGCAACTTGAGATCTGGCCTTTCCAGGGACACTACTTGATGTTGGTACAGGTTAAAATACACAAGCCATTGACATTGCGAGATTTGTGGAACAAAGAGTCCGGATTCTAAGGCCAATTCTGGCCCACAGCTTAGCATAAGACCTCATCTCTTGTTTGCGGGCCCTGGCTTTTCCCCCTCCCTCCAGCCTCACATTCTCTATTTTCTACCTCACACGTGCTTTGTTCTGCCTGCACCAGTGACCTTGCTGTTCTGCAGATGCATCAAGCACATTCCTACCTCAGGACCTTTGCACTTGCTGTTTCCTGGTGGTTA